CACATTGCTGAGTGCCCCCCTCAACACAGCCCTTGTTGGGGCAGGAGGTGACTCCCAGAGCCCACCATCAACCAGAACATCCTCAAAAACCTAATTTCTAAGGAAACCATTGGACACAATCCTTGTGCAAGACCAGGAAATCTAAAAAAAACTGCCCTAAAGGGCTTTGTAAAGGTTTAATCCCTCTGCAGTGCTGCCCTAAAGAGAGAATTATGGAACATCCTCAGTTGGAAGGGACCCACAGGGATCATCCAGTCCAACTCCTGGCCCCAAGAATCCCATCAGGATTTTGTACAGTGCACCCAGAGAAATAAATCCCACCTCATACTGCTCCAAACAAGGAGCACCCACATCCTGCTAAAAAAAAAAGCCAAAATAATCCTATATTTAGTAAAGACACCAGTTCAGAGCTGCCCAACCCCACCCACCCGGCTCTGGAGGCTCCAAACCCCAAGGACCTTCAGCCAAAGTGCCCTGGGAGGAGGAGACTCATTAATTAACAAAGCACCCCAGCCTGGGAAACACCAACCAGCTGCCAAATGCAGCCCCAAAGCAGAGCTCAGCCGGGCTGAGCTTAAAGCCACGGTGACAGCCTGGAGGAAAATGGGGGCTCTGGAGAGGTGTGAGGTGAACGTGTGTTTGTGCAACTCCTGGGGCAGGAGGCAGCTGCTTTGGGGGGCTGCTGGATGATGATTATTCCCAAATTAATCCTGAGGAGCAGCTTGGCAAAGCCAGGGATTTCCAAGGATCCAGCTCCTCCCTGACTGTGCTCAGGGGCACAAGGACAAGCTGCTTCCCTGCTCTGCTGGAGGGATGGACCAGGCAGAGGTTCCCTTCTGAGTCCAGCTCTTTTAGGAGAAGACACTTACTGGGAACAAGCTGTTTTCTCCACTGGTGCCAGATCCCAAATTTAAAGCAGAGCTTGACCCACCTGCTCTTATTTTCCTGAGCAAAAAGCCAGGAAAACACCTCTTGCAAGGGCTGTTTGGGGTTTAGGACCTGCAGCCACAATCTGGGGAGGTGGCAAAGCTTGAACCTGTTCCTGGTGCTGCTCAGAACTGATTTTATGCAGCAGGAAAATGGGATCCAACCCCTTGGCCAGGGTAGATGGAGGAACCAAACTCTCAGAAGCTGGAAAATCACCATCTCTGATGGTTCCCTGAAGGATAAGCCCAGTTTTTCCTCCCAGACAACCAGGCTTTGTGTGTGTTTGATGTTCCACCAGCCCAGGGGACTGTGCTGGGAAACTCCAGTGGAAGAGGTTCCTGTCCTTGTAGAAAACACAACAGGAAAAGGCAAGGTTTGCTTCAGCTCTGGTTACAAAACCTTTCTGTGTGTCTGGAAGGGCTCAGGACACACATGAAGGAAAGGAAGGAGGGGGAATGTTGGAAGAGCCCAGTGAATTCACACCCAGAACAACCCTGGCACCTTCACAGAGACCCACAAGTGTTAATGAGCTGTCAAAATCCTGCAATAATCTGGTTTTGCTGAGCAATAAATTTGTTTTAGTATTGATTGATTGATTTCCTTTTCATGCAACCTCTTTCAAAACAACAAAATGTGAAATCCCCCCAGATTCCAACACCTCACAACCTGAACATGCCACTACAAACATTCCCCTTCCAGAGCCTTCTCTGATCCAGACTAAATTCCAACTGATCCAGACATCAGCCCCAGTTCCAACTGATCCAGACATCAGCCTGAATTCCACTTGATTTGGATATCAGCCCCAATTCCAATGGATCCAGACATCAGCCCCAATTCCAATTGATCTGGGCATCAGCCCCAATTCCAATGGATCCAGACATCAGCCCCAATTCCTACTAATCCAGACATCAGCCTGAATTCCAACTCCCTGCACAGCAGCAGCCAAGTTAAAAAGAGTTGGTTCTTTCCTCTAGGAGCTGAAAAGGCTTTGCCTCCCTTTTCCCAGTGGGAGAACTGAGGCAGGAGGCAGGAATGTGCTCCCTCAGCCCTGCCTTGATCCTTGGGATGATCCTGCCAGCCTGGACAAATTCAGGGATGGAGGGAGTGGGGAAGGATTCGCTGGGAATAGCCGGGAATCTTCCCCCCTCCTCCGCCCCCAACCAGGGCGTCCTTGCCTTTGGGGTTCACCCTTTGCCAAATTCATGGCAATTCCCCAAAATAACGTGTCGGGGGCTCGGAGGGGAGGTGGGAAATGCAATTCCCAGCGAGCCTTTCCCAGCTCTCCCATTGCTCCTCCCGCATTTTTAAGCAATGCTGCCATCGAGTGGTCCGGGAGCATCGGGAAGAGCGCTCGGCCCGCTGCCTGGACCCCTCCGTGGTCACCCACCAGCCCCTGAAACGGCTGGAAACGCAGAGCTTGGATATATTCCCGGTTGGAATGTGCCTCCTTCATCCCTCCCCGTGTTAAAACGCTCGGTCTCCCTTCGACAAGCGACACGATGTTGGGGATTAAAGGTTTTCAGCCCCTCAGCTTCCTCCGGTGTCAGATCCCCCCCGTCCTGCCCACGCTCAGCTCTGCAATTCCAACCCCAGTTCCTCCCTCCCAGTTTCCAGGGAGCCGCGGCTGTACCTGGGAGCGGTTCCTCTTCCAGCAGCTCGGGAGGGAAGGCGTGATTTAGGAGCATCCTGAGCAAACCGGAGGGACGAGCTCAGCTTTGCTCGGCTCGATGTTCCTCCTATTGCATTAGTGGATCCCGAGGGAGAGGCGCCTTTCCTGGCAGCAGCAACGCGGATTGTTGTGGTTTTGCCCACAATAAAAACCCAAGTAAATAAAAAACCCCTGGAGGAGCACGTCAACCCCCCCCCTAACCCCCCGTTTGGTGGATTTAAACCAGGCCTGTGGGAAGCTGCAAAGCCCTGTTTGCAGCTTAATGAGATTCCAAATTCATGGCAAAAATGAGGCTTTAGTGCAGAAGGTTTCACCAGCCCTTTAATTGCTGTTTGCTTTGTGAGAGAAGGGGCTCTGAAATGGAATGTCCTCTTTGCAGTGGAAGGAAACAAGTTGTGCTGGAGTGGGAAGAGCTTTTCCTTCTTTGGGAATTCAGTTATTTGTTTTGTTCACTGGGGTTGCAAAACACTCATGGACCACAATTGCTTGGAGAGATCCCATGGACGTTATATTGGAAAGCTTTATGATATATAAATATGATATAATATATAAAATATATAAATATATAATATAAAAATATAACATATAAAATATATAAGCTTTACTATTATCAGGATTTTTCCTGATGACTTTTGAGAGTGTATTTAGCCCAGACCCCCCTCATAAAATAAAATATAAAATATAAAATAAAATAATATATAAAATATATAAGCTTTGCTATTATCGGGATGTTTAAATTCCCAGTGACTTTTGAGAGCGTTTTGGCCCAGACCTCCCTGAGTCCCCCAAAAAGGACACAAAGCACAGGAAGCTTTGGAGGGCAAAGCGGTTGGACGGGGATGAGGAGGAATGAAAATGGGGGGCGAGGGGGTCGGGGAAGCTGGAATAGCCCCTTCTACGGGGAAGGCGGGAGTGGAGAGGGGAGAAGAGCTCCCCCGGGCAGGGCGGAGGGGACCGGGAGAGGGGACTGGGACCGGGGGAGGGGACCAGGGGCTGGGGAGTGCCCTTCCCGTGCCGACTCTGCCCACCGGTCTCTGGCACCGCCCGCCCCGATTATAAAAGGCCCGGCAGTGCCTTGACAGCCGCAGTCGATTCGCGGCACCGGCTGCGACCCGAGGCTGCTCCGCTCCTGAACCGGCTGCATCCCGAAACGAGGAGGATCCGTGTTCTGCACCGGCTGCATCCCAAAACGAGGAGGATCCGTGTTCTGCACCGGCTGCATCCCAAAACGAGGAGGATCCGTGTTCTGCACCGGCTGCATCCCGGACCGAGGGGAACCCGCACCCTGCGCCGGTCCCGAGCCTGGAGGCACGTGCATCCCGCATCCTGCTCCGGTCCTGAACCGGGGGCTCCCGAATCCTGAACCGACTGCATCCCGGACCGAGGGGAACCCCCATCCTGCTCCAGCCCGGAGCCGGAAGGTACCTGCATCCAGAATCCTGGTCTGGTCCTGAACGGGCAGGACCCGCCCCGTGCTCTGGTCCCGAACCGGGAGGGACTCGCACCCAGAACCGGCAGGGACCCGCGTCTGGCTCAGCTGGGAAGGACCCAGGTCCCTGAATGCCCTGAATCGGGAGGAATCTGCACCCCGGTGAAGCTGCAGCCGAGCCCGGGGGGACCCGCACCCCAAACCAGCTGTGCCCGAATTAGGAGGGACCTGCACCCCAAACCAGCTGTGCCCGAATTAGGAGGGACCCGCACCCCAAACCAGCTGTGCACCCCAGTCCAGCCGTGCCTGAGCTGGGAGGGACCCACACCCTAAACCAGTGAAGCCCTGGCATGGCCAGACACCCTGTTATAGCTGCATCTGGAGACAGGAGGGACCAGAAGGGACCTGTGCCCTGAACCAGCCTTGCACCCCAAACCAGCTGCCCCTGGACTGGGAGGTGCCCTGTCCTGGACCAGCCCTGCATCCCAAACTGGCTGCACCCTGAACCAGGAGGGACCTGCACTCCAAACCAGGGGTCTGCCCCAAACTTGTTGGCCCCTGATCCTGCTGTGCCCTGAACCAGGAGGGATCTGCACCCCAAAGAATCTGTGCACTCTAAGCTGGAAGGGACCTGCACCCCGAAACATCTGTGGGCCCTAAACCAGGAGGAACCTGCACCCCAAAACATCTGTGTGCCCTAAACCAGGAGGAACCTGCACCCCAATCCTGCTGTACCCTAAACCAGGACAGACTTGAACGCCAAAGCATCCCTGTGCCCTAAACCAGGAGGGATCTGCACCCTAAACCATCTGCGTGCCCCGATCTTGCTGTGCCCTAAACTGGGAGGGACCTGCACCCCAAAGCCTCCCTGCACTCTAAGCTGGAAGGGACCTGCACCCCAATCCTGCTGTGCCCTAAACCAGGAGGGATCTGCAGCCCCCCCATCCGTGTGCTGGGTCTGGCTCTGTGGGGACACGATGGATGACTCTCTGCCCCTGGAAGCGGAGCTGGAGCAGCAGTGGTTGTCCAACAGCTCCCTGAATGAGTCCCTGTCCAACCAGTTTGTGCAGCCCCCGTGGCAGGTGGCCCTGTGGGCCGTGGCCTACGCCCTGATCGTGGTGGTGGCGGTGGTGGGGAACGTGGTGGTGATGTGGATCATCCTGGCCCACAAGCGCATGAGGACGGTCACCAACTACTTCCTGGTGAACCTGGCGTTTGCCGAGGCCTCCATGGCTGCCTTCAACACCGTGGTGAACTTCACCTACGCCATCCACAACGAGTGGTACTACGGGCTCTTCTACTGCCGCTTCCACAACTTCTTCCCCATCGCTGCTGTCTTCGCCAGCATCTACTCCATGACGGCCATCGCCCTGGACAGGTGAGTGGTGAGGGTCACACCCTCCCCTCAGGCCAGGGGTGCTTTGATGCTTAGCAAGGCCAAGGCCGGGTCCTGCCCTTTGGCCACAACAACCCCCGGCAGCCCCCCGGGCTGGGCCAGAGTGGGGGGACAGAAAGGGCCCTGGGGGGACGGACTGACAGCAGCTGAACAGGAGCCAGGGGGGCCCAGGGGGGCAAGAGGCCAATGGAGCCTGGCCTGGCTCAGGAATAGTGTGGC